CGAAGCCCTCTCAACAAACATGCGGTTTGCGTTCTCTGCGCCCTACCAGGTGGATGCTGGAAAAAGATTTCTGCGACATCAATCGGCTGGCGGCAAAGCACCTAGAGACTGCTGCCAAGGTGGAGGAGGAGCTTGTGGGGGGGTACAACCCTGAGCTAGAGCTGTGACGATGGAGTGGTAGGGTCGCAGGAGTGGGTCGGAGAGTTTTAGCTTTGAAGCTGTGGCCTCTGCTGGAGATATATCATGAAGTTTTAGCGTCAGCGTTGATAAAGTCAAATGGGCTTCGAAGTCCTTCGTCCCGTAAAACCCCAGGTCGAAACAGGGTCGGGCTTGGGCAGGTGGTGCTTGAGCATGGCCCCAGCATTCCACACCTCACAAGACGACACTGGAACGAAAGATGATGCGCTCAGTGAGAATCGGTCAGGTATGGTCAGGTCTTCATGCACGAAGATGAGACTGGCCCGACTAACCATCCGGCTCAGGCTAAACACCTTTCTCAGATTTTTCGCCTTTGCCTTCAACCACGAACTAAAGTTTTCAGACTCCAAGCCCTAGGCTCCAAAGTCTATGCGCTGGCTACGGTTACAGTTTGGTCACACCACGGCCCTAACTCAAGTTGGGCCAGGACGAAAGCGACTTCGGGGACGAAGAAATCGTGACCATCACGGCCGCTTCGCTTCCTTCATTTTCACAAGCATTAGTTAACCCTGAATCCTAAACTGTCTGGTCGCTTCTTTTTGGGATCACGGTTGGGTACTCGGTCCAGCCCCGAATTTTCTGCTGAGACCGGCGGCATCAAGTTGGGATTCGTCTGTGTTCCACAAAAGTTTAATACTATCGGGCCCAGAAGGCCGTTGGAGCTCAAACCTGCTCGATTGTTGTTGCGTTCATTGTAGATTGGAGAGTCTGCTGGTCAGTGTGGCGAACCGGCAAGGCGTGATGAAACAAACACGCCTTCGTCCGTCCTCGCCGGGGTTTAGCGCACAAGGGTTAAAGTTGAGGGTAGTGAACTGTTTGGTTCGGCTCAGGCTTCTCAGTGAGGCCGGTGTATCGAGCATACCTAGAACCGCAAGAAAGCGCATATGTCCCAAGTGACTCCGCAAGCCCGTTCGTCTCGAAGGGCGTAGCCCAATGCACACGATAGACAACGACTGCCTCTGAAGCCTTGACAAGTTGCGACTTAAGAGTTCAGCCTGCATCCTCCTCATCCTCCTCCTCCTCCTCCTCCTCCTGCATGTGCTGACATGCCTGCTACTGCTGCGTCTTGTTGTTCAGCTGTTTTCAAGGGCATAAGGGTCGGTTGTTTCTTGGCAGAGGTTGTAAGCACTTAAAGAAGTATGATTGTTCTGCTCTTGATGTCCAGGATAGGGCTGTCATGGTGATTCGACTTATGCCTAGTCCCCGGTCCCAAGGCTACAGCCGGAAGATGGCGGTCGCAGCGGCACATGTCGTTGTGAAGCGCCTCTCCCTGTCCATGCCATGCTTAGCCGACACTAAACTCGGGTTGTCTGGCCTCGGGGTTTTAATTAAGCCTTGGGGTCGTTGAAGCCGCACAGCTACACATGTCTCCGAAACCCAATCGTTCTGGCCCTCACGGCCTCAAGTTGACAATGCCACACCTAACCCACAAGCATACCCTGACTTCAACCCCGATCTGAAACAGTAGAGTTGCAGTCGGATTTTTCAACTGGTTTACAGGCTCAGGGGTCGGGTTTAGGGTAAAGAGTGGTGCAATTAACTTCCATAGGTGGTGGAGAAGAATCCGGCAACAAAACTGTGAGGTGCTGATGCGTAGTCTTTCATAATGACGGTCTTCACCTTCTGTTGCATCGAAAACGCTTAGCTCGATGCATTCCGGATGTTGTAATGGCTTGACCCCACCACATTGACATACAGCTGGCCTCAGCACCTTCAAGCCGGCTTGTTAATTTCAGTAGCACGGTTGGCATCTACGTTTTAAGCCCGAACATGCTGATACACTGACCTTGTGATATGAGCTCTTTGCAAGACACAGGCCCAGGGTTTTGAGATTCACATGTATGGCGGCACGGAGTAGTAGGAGTAGCAGGAGTATGAGGAGTAGTACAAGGAGGAGCAGGAGCAGCAGCAGCAGCGGTCGTCGCCGTAGCAGTCGTAGTAGTAGCCGTCGTAGTAGTTGTGGCAATGGCAGCAATAGTTGTCACTCGTCATAGCAATAGTTATGTTGACTAAGACTTGGACAAGTGAGGTTTGAGGCCGGGAGAACTTGACCTTGTAGACGTGTAGACCCTGAAGTTTCAGACACTCTTTCTTCGGGGTGGCGCATTGCTTTATACGGTTTGCTTTTAACGTTCGAGCACGCACATACACTGCAACCCCCAATAACCTTTGAAATATATGATAACTCGAGGACGCTTAGGATACCGCCGATCCCAAACTATGGAAACTGTAGGCCTGTAGATGAGCGAGAGTGTGTGTTGGATGTATGTGCACGGTGCGTATATAGGCATGTATGTATGGATGGATGGGTAGGTAGGGTCTCGCATGGACTGGCATTCGTGTATGGATATGCAGATGTTGTGATTATGTCTGTATGTTTGCATACTGTAGATGTATGTATGTCTGCATGTATGCATGTGTGCATGTACGTATGCATGTATGTATGTATGTATGTATGTATGTGTGCATGTAGTGTGCGTAAGTTGGTTGCAGCCTCACCACTACCTCTTGAGGTCTTCGGAGAGGTGCAAAGCCCCCAAAATCCTAGACCCTCAGCTCTAAGACTCTGAACAAAAATCCAGACAACCTGAAGACCTAGAGCTCTAAGCTCTGAACCGGATGGACGGGCCGTGGCTGCCTCACACACCCTTCTTGCGTAGAATCGCCAGCGAGCTTTGCACGTCTGCAGTGGCGCTTTGGGCAGACCACAGTCAACTCCTATGTCCTGGGTCTCTGAGCAGCTTTGCAGAGGAATCCCTAAAGCAATCCAAGAACTATCTCAAATCTCCAGCCCCGAACCCTGAAGCATAAACCTTTCTGCAACCGCAAATGGTGTCTTCCGAGCCCTACCCTGGGGACAATGGAAGTGGCTTGAGTGTTTCCTGCGCTGGGCCCGAAGCCGGCCATCTTTAGCCGAGCCGCATCTTTCCATGCGGCTCTGTCGATAATGCCATGGGAGCGGCGAAGATGCGAAGCATCTCAGTGCCGTTGCCGTTCTTGTGTCTCTTTGATCCTACAGCCTCGAACCCCAGAACAACGAAAGAACGTCGCAGGGAGTAGTATTCCTCCTTGTAGACATCTTTGAAGATCTTAGGGCAGCCTGTCTTCAGACGGTATCGAGGCCCGCCTCAGTGCTAAACTAACACTTGACCCTCAACGCGACCCCTAAACCATAAGCCCACTCGGCAGGCAGCCCCTTTCTGAATAAATCAGTCTGATATAGCCTTCGAATTGTCCTCCTTGCGGAAGTAGCTTGGGGCTTAGGGTTTGGGTTTAGGGTGCAATGCAGAGCGTTTCGGGGTACGAAGTACCAGCTCTAGTCCAGCTCAGGGTTGAGGTGAAAGAGCTCTGAACAGAAAGGGCACAGGGTCTGTACATCTGGACCAACAACAGAGGATCCCGAACTGCAGGATATTCTCTACAGGAAAAGTTGAGGTTTGGACATGTTCAAAGTCGCTGTCGGGTTCCGCAGCAAACTGAAGGGCCCCTGGACTGTCGAAGGCTAAGTCTAGGCGTAGGACTTGAAGCCCGAGCGTTCGCAGCAACGAGCGCTGGGACCAGTAGTGGCCCTCGAAATGCCAGGTCTGCACCTCACAAAACCACCCCGAGAATTGAAAGTCCCTAGACCCACCTAAACCACAGGCCACAGGCAGCCAAGAGAGGGGGATGGAAGTGCTGCCCCCTCGAATTTGCTGCAAGGCACGCAGAGGTTCCGTGTGCCGTGGCCATAAACCAACCAACGCGCAGCTCAGGACTCTGCCGCCGCCACCTCCCCTCTTACCAGCCAGAGAAAGGTTTGGAACCACGTTTGCGGTGCCGGTGGCACTAGGCAGCACCGCAGACACCGCAAAACATCCCAGGAGCAGTCATGGCTTGAAGGGATGACCAATGGCGAAGGAACCTCAGCGAAACGAGCGAAGACTTTTCGCTCCTAGCGTTGCTGCACGGCTTTCCGCAGAAACATCGACGAGTGTGCGAAGCACCAGGAAAAGCCGCAGGCTGGCTGTGTGTGCAGCCAGTCTTCCGATTTCCATCTCTATAGTTTGATACATGTAACTCGTTCTTTAAATGGGTGTTCAGCTTTGCTGCGAATCCATTTCAGCTCTAGTCCGCATGTTGTCGTGTCCTGTGCTTTGAGGCTTGAGCTTGTGGCGGGCAGGAGCTGCTGTGCTCAAAGGATCTCAAAGGTACTGGTATGCTCTGTTCCTTTAGAAAACTTGCGCTCTCTTAACTACCAAGGGGAGGCGTGTAGAGACATGTCGGGACAGGAATTCCCAAGCTCGGGTTCTTCAGCTGCGCCGTTTTCTGCTGCCCTTGGTAAAGACTTCTTGGGGCAAGCCACAAGATGCCGCAGTGGTCGTGCTGTTTTTGCGTTTCGGGTTTGGGTCGTGCGTAGAGTCTCTGGCTTGTGCACGGTGCACGAGTGCACGCCGAGTAGTGCCTGGTCCCATGGAGCTATAGGGCCAAGCGCTCCCGTGGCTTTGGCTCAAGGACATTATCCGAGAGGGCCGAAGATCGGCACTGTGCGGAATCCGGAGGCTACATGTCAAGGGCATCGGATGTCGACTCGGCGGATTACTACGAGGTACGGGACCTCGAAACCCCTCAACGGCCCTCAACCCGATACCTCTAATCCTTTGTTCCGATCGCGAGGTACTGGGCGTGGAAGATGATGCCAGCACCGGGGACGTGACCAAGGCTTATCGAAAGCTCGCGCTACAGTACCACCCTGACAAGCAGCAGGACAGGGTTTAGGGTTGTGGTGCCCGGGAAGTGCCTCGCCAGTTCACTTTGGATGAGCGATGCCTTATGGTTGGCTTTTGCGGACGTCGCTTGCTTTTGGCAATTTCCTTTCCCTGAACGGGCAGGACAAGAAGAGCGAGTTTGAGGCCAAGTTTAAGCACATAGCAGAAGCTTACGACACGCTGCACAACCCCGAGAAGAGGAAAGTCTATGACAGCACAGGCAGGAACAACATGCCGCTTGGTTCCAAGAACGAGATCAGAGCAGAACTGTTGGCGCAGCTGGAATTCCTGCTCCGCAACAGCTTTCCGAATAGCCGGTTGCTCGGTTTTGGTGACAAGCTCCGTCGAGGATTGGGAGCAAATCCAGATGTGGAACGGCTTATCCGTTCCGTCCATAGGGACGCCCAACACAAGCATCGTCGAAAGTCTTCGCCGAGCCCATTTGTTCTGCCGCACGGAAAGATGGTTACTGTGCATGGCCTGAGGCAGGCTGTTGAGCTGAATGGGAAGAAGGCCCAGATCCAAGGTTACGATGCTTCCACACGCCGGTATGATGTAAAGATGCGGGGTGGCCCCATGATATGTGTCAAGCGCGAGAACATCACCCAGCAGTGTCGGGTGACTGTTCATGGCCTCGTGGTGCAGGCGAGTTTGAATGGGCTGGAAGCTGATGCTTGGACTGGCTAAAGGGCCTTAAGCATCTCAGTCTTTCTTGGTTTTCGGAAGACGAAAGCAAAGCCATGCCGTGAAAAGGTTGTCTTGGGCCAGAGCTTTCTTCAGCTCAGGACATTGTCGGCTATCAGCCGGACACGGGAAACTACGCCGCGATTCTTCGTAAAGGTTCTGCTATGATCCACATTTCGCCCAAGAACTGCATCCTTGAAGCTGGAACGTGTATCATGCTTCGGGGTGTCAGTGGCTCGGCAGTGATTCGGAGCTCTGCTGACATCGAAGCCTACTAGTAAGCTACAACAACAGGCATAGTTTTGCGAAGACAACCACAAGAAGTATTGTACTTACGGAGCTGATCCAACACCCAGGCGAGGAGCACGACGGCAAGATGGCCTGTGTTCTAGAAGCCGATGCCGGCTGCTACCGGGTCCGGTGCTGCGACGGTCAGGAGATCCGAGTTAAGTACGAAAGCGGTCTGTGCTGACAGCTCGTGCATCGGCCAGAGGCTGATGTTGCCTTGTAGCCCAGAGTCTATCTCCTCCGGCAGGTGCCTGGTGCAGTCGATCGCTTCTTGGAGGGATCCCTTTGCCCAAGGTGGTGGGCCGGAGCTGACAAAACCTGCAAACGTCTGGGGCTTTACAAAACTTCACGGCAGTCTAAGGCTGAGACCCCGGACTCGTAGCTCCACCAGCTTAGAGCAAAAGCTTCCCCATCTTCCCTCCAAGATGGTGCGCCTACTGCTTTTGGCCCTGCTGATGCGTTTTCCGTCCTGTGCCTGACACTGGGCCATAGGTTGTGCCAAGTTCTTGTCTGGCTATAGACTCTAGAGGAGCCCAGGACTTAGTAAGTATGGTTATAAGTACCTTATAAGTAATGATAAGTTATAGGTGACAACGCCTGGTGTGCGTCCTGTACGTCCTCTCACTTTTCTGGGGTGGGGGGGGGGGGGTGGGGGGGGCTAATTCCGGCCAGCCCCGACCTGTAAGTCCCAGAACTGCGCACTTCTGTCGCAGGCAGGCCCAAGCTCTAGTTCTGATCGAAGCCATGTTTCCTTAGGGTCATATGCCCAACACACCGGTAATTCCGGTGTGTTCGGCACTTGCTACAACCCACGTCGCCCAAACCATCCATGGGTGGTCCATGTTATTGACGCAGAGCATCCATAGGTCAACCATGTTAACGTCCACTCAGAGCAGATCTCATTGACGCAGAGCATCCACGGGTCAACCATATTAACGTCCACTCAGACCAAGTTTGCGCAGCGCGGTGCTCGCAAAAGTGGCTTTTACTGCAGCGCCATCACCTTCTTCGCTAAAACGATCGACCTGTCACAAGGATTCTCCGCCTTTCCTAGCACAACTTTTTAGTCATAATACAAGTTTGCCCTAGGTTTTAGCACATTGCCTGCTTCAGCTACGCCACAAAACGCCGGTCACGTACCAGGCGCTGTTACCAAGTTATAAGTATAGTTACACCAATAATACCATAGGAAACTCTCTCCTCTTCCCCCGGGGTTCTTTCAGAAGCTGAGCCAGAGCAGAGTGCCCCGAAGAGTTGATCCGGGGGCACAGAAGAGAGACCTGTAGCTTTTTTGAAAGAAGCAGCTTCATGATTACTTGAACCTTCACTCTGTCGCGGTCGAGATGAAATCAAGTTTCAAGTTCATCTTAGCCATCCTTGCCATCATAAACACCATGCCAATCGCGCGTAATCGTGGTCATAGAGGCCGGGCTAGGCTAGATTGACATTCTCTGCATCCTTTTGGCACTATCCGGTCCCGTGTCCTGGCATCATGGACGCACCCGCAAGGGAGGGATCCGGCAGCTGAACCCATCTTTGAGGATTGTTCTTGGTTGTTTAGGGGTCGTCCTGTAGTCGGTCAAGGCTTGGGGGATAAGATGTTTGGCCTGATTTGCTTAATTTTCACCGTTCCCCCCGTGCGGCTTCCACCAAACTCTTAGCCGGTTCCGCACAACCAATCTTGAACCACATCATCGAAAGAAGACTTGTACCGCTTGAGGAATCTTGCATAGATTGGCATAGAGACCCAAGGGACGCCATCTACTCGGCAACACGGGCTGACATACAAAGCCAAGCAAGTCGTTGGACCCACCAAGCAAGAGCCGGATCCTTCCATTCTGCGACGAATGGTCTCGCTGTTCTGGGCAAAGCTCATCGTGCTTCTCTTGCTTGGAAGCTTCCGGGCCTGCCACTGCTAGAGAACTAGATACCCTGAAAACACGGAATTCGGGGCACTGGCCGTAGTTCCATACCTACAACCCGAGATCCAGATCCGGAAGCGACACGGGCACACATTCAAGGGAATTTCAATGAGGGCCTCAGAACTGTCCGATTATAACCCATCTGCCGTCTGGCAACCTGTGTTTCAGGGTAGTCGTTCCCTGAGCGCCATGGAACTTGTGTAAGCCAAGGATGCAGGAGTTTAGGACGTTATGGTTTTGGGTACCAGCGACACTTTGTGGAGCAGACTGCCGATATTTCTTGCATCGTGATGCGCACCAAGCGGTGACCTCCCGAATCCCGACCAGGCTGAACTATTTGTTTACAATTTTTTACATCACAGCCTGGGCGCAGTCATGTCAAGGCAACTTCTCTTCGGGTAGGGAACTTTAGCCGGGCAGGTCTAGCTATAGAGCCCTGCTTCAAACAAACAACTGTAGCACTTCTCCAAACACTGCATCAGGATTCCACAGTCCTACCTTTGAGAGTTGACTCCTGGATATTGTAATTACTAGCAGCCGCATGTTGTTAAACTATCCTCGGACTCATGACCGAAGCACTGCTTCCTCGTCGTCACACAATTAGACTCCCGTTGCTATCGCTGCAACTCCCACCAGCTCCTCTGCCACCACCACCGCCGTCCACCGCCCCTCCACCCCCCGCCACACCAATCACCACCGCCACTGGGGCTGCTGGTGCTGCCGTTGCTGGTGCTGCTGTTGCTGGTGCTGCTGTTGCTGGTGCTGCTGTCGCTGGTGCCGTTGCCGGTGCTTGGTGCGGTGCTGGGTGTTGGTGCTGCTGCTGTGCTGCTGTGCTGGCGTGCTGGTGTGCTGTTGCTGTTGTTGCTGCTGCTGGTGCTGCTGTTGCTGGGGTTGGGGCGGGTCTGGTGCTGGCACTGGCAACTGCCTTTACCACTGCCACGACGACGACCACGACTGCTATTTCCGCTACTCCTGCTGCTGCTGCTGCCGCTACTAATACTGACTAATACTACTACCACCTCACAACGTGCGGTAGGGTTACGATTGCTTCTGCTACTGCTACTACTACTACTACTACTACTACTGCTACTACTACTACTACTACTACTACTACTGCTACTCCAAACAACAAACAACAACAACGACAACCACAACGACAACGACAACGACAACGACAACGACAACCACAACAACAACAACAACAGCAACAGCAACAGCAACAGCAACAGCAACAGCAACAACAACAACAACAGCAACAACAACAGCAACAGCAACAGCAACAGCAACAGCAACAGCAACAGCAACAGCAACAGCAACAACAACAACAGCAACACACAACTACTACTACTACTACTACTACTACTACTACTACTACTACTACTACTACTACTACTACTACTACTACTACTACTACTACTACTACCTACTACTACTACTACTACTACTACTACTACTACTACTACTACTACTACTACTACTACTACTACTACTACTACTACTACTACTACTACTACTAGTTACTACTACTACTACTACTACTACTACTACTACTACTACTACTACTACTACTACTACCTACTACCTACTACCTACTACCTACTACCTACTACCTACTACCTACTACCTACTACCTACTACCTACTACCTACTACTACTACTACTACTACTACTACTACTACTACTACTCCTACTCCTCTATTCCTCTGCTCCTCCTACTCCTCTGGTCCTCTACTCCTCTACTCCTCTACTCCTCCACTCCTCCACTCCTCCACTCCTCCACTCCTCCACTCCACTCCTCAACTCCTCAACTCCTGAACTCTTCTACTCCTCTACTCCTCTACTCCTCCACTCCTCCACTCCTCCACTCCTCCACTCCTCAACTCCTCAACTCCTGAACTCTTCTACTCCTCTACTCCTCTACTCCTCCACTCCTCCACTCCTCCACTCCTCTACTCCTCCACTCCTCCACCCCTCAACTCCTCTACTCCTCTACTCCTCTACTCCTCTACTCCCCTACTCCTCTACTCCTCTACTCCTCTACTCCTCTGCTCCTCTGCTCCTCTGCTCCTCTACTCCTCTACTCCTCTACTCCTCTACTCCTCTACTCCTTTACTCCTCTACTCCTCAACTCCTCTACTCCTCTTCTCCTCTTCTCCTCTTGTCCTGTACTCCTACTCCTCCTGCTCCTCCTCCGGCTCCTGCTCCTGCTCCTGCTCCTGCTACTGCTACTGCTACTGCAACTGCTGCTCCTGCTGCTGCTCCTGCTGCTGCTCCTGCTGCTGCTCCTGCTGCTGCTGCTGCTACTGCTACTGTACTGCTACTGCTACTGCTACTGCTACTGCCACTGCCACTGCCACTGCCACTGCCACTGCCACTGCCACTGCTTCTGCTACTGCTACTGCTTCTGCTAGCAGCTACTACTACTTCTACTACTACTACTGCTACTACTAGTACTAGCACTACTACTACTACTACTGCTACTACTACTGTTACTACTACTACTACTACTACTACTACTATTATCCGACTGTTGCAAGCCCGCCGCTACTGCGTTTGCTGTTCTTGCTCCTGTTTGCTGGCACTGCTGCATCTGCCGCTGCCACCGCTGCTGCTCACTGCGGCCAAGACCAACGCCCACTCTGCAAACAGCACCTGCTCCAACGCCAAGAGCATAGCACCATGGGGACATCAAGCTGGCATCAATACCAACATCAGCAGAGACGGCCATGGCAGTAGCGCGGCAGTAGCAGCGACAGCGACAGCAGCAGAAACATCCTTCACGATCTTTGGGTGAGCTCAAAAGATGTGTTGTTGGAGGACCCTATTTGCAGATTCTGTCGCAGTTATCAGTCATGTTGTGTATTCAGTGTATTCATCCACATCGGTTCCGAGAGGTGCCTCGACTGTCGGCTGTGGAATTTAAAGGTCGAGCGGGTGATTTTCAGCCGGAAGCGACTTTCTGCGCCGAAGAGCAGATGAACACGCGGAGCATGGCGAGCTCGATGTTCCCCACCAGGTTCCATCTTCTACATCTTTAGCATGCTTGATTCGTGTGTGCCTTGTTCAAAGTCAGGAGTTCGTCAGACCCTCTCTGCCCCAAGGTGGTGTAGAATTGAAAGGCCTCTATGAGGGCGTTTGCGTGCGGGGGCATGGTGGATTGATTCCCAAAACTTCAAGGCGAAGTTTGCAGGCTTTTGCAAATAAGATTTGGTCTGTATGTTTACAGCAGCACACTGCACTAGTTGCTGAAGCTTCCTACAGT